CACACACACACACACACACACACACACACATACACACACACACACACACTAATTCAACTCCCTGACACCACATAGACAGCTTATGGAGACAGCAGCGAGGCCCATACTTGCGAGCAGCTTCAATATGGGGAAAGGATGAGTAGGCAGAGATAAGTGGGGCCATGAAAATGCCCTTCATGACTCATCATCGTTTGTCAAAACCCAAGAGACTTGCTTTGGCAACACAAGGACAGCAGGCAAGCTGGGCTCAAGGCTAAGTGCTTATCATGCTGAACTGGAATTCTGGCATCTGTCCTTTGCCATGAAGAACACATGGCCTGGCAGATGACAGGAGAGGGTGAGTATGAACAGCAAGGGAAGCACTACCCCAGGCTCCTCCATACAGTGAGCTCAACCGTTTACATCCTTACCTGCAGTTGGTCCAGCATCAGCAGAGCTCTGCCTGTGTAGCCAGTCTAGGCCCCCCAGCACTCTGCTGGCTCACAGGTATGTGGACTCATTGAGATCATGCTCTCTGCCACTGTGATTTCTGATGGTGTATTATACAAGTAACAATCAGCCAGGAAGAGGTTGTGTGTGTTTGGTCGGGGGTGGGGGTGGGTGCTGTAACAAAGCTTACACTGGGAGACCAGAAGTCATTAGTGGGGAAAGCATGGCCTGGAGTTGGGAAATGGTGGTTGTTTAGCAGAGCTGGTGCCTGCTGTAGATTGGAATGGGATTCTCTTTGCCATGGTTTCATAAACAGTGTCTTGGTGGCCATACACTCACATGCAGTAGTGAAACATCGGATTTTGCCAGTTGCATTGTACCTGTGATCATGTCGAGGGACTCTAACTCTTCTACTTCTGTGTTCTTTCAATATCACTGTTTTCATTGTAAATAGATTACATCTTTTTTTATGTACTTGAGATTTCAGTGGTAAGCTAAATGCTTTTCTTAAATTTCACTTCCTTTAACCTTTCTACTGTTTAGCCTGTTCTCTTATCTGTTACTGACATAAATACAGTTTGCTTTTTAATGTGATGTGGGTGTGCTAAGTGGCCTGGGCAGATGTGATTATCTAATGGTTTATATGGATGGTGGTGACATGTTTGTTATTATAATTCTGGTAACTAGGGATAATTAAATTTTGTATTATCTTCTGTAATGGCCTTATTTTGCTTCCTTTTTATACCTAGTAAAATAGGCTTCCAATACATGGTGGATATACTGAAAAGGGGGGTCTGGAGAGATGGCTCAGAGGTTAAGAGCACCAACTGCTCTTCCAGAGGTCCTGAGTTCAATTCCCAGCACCCACATGGTGACTCACAACCATCTGTAATGAGATAGGGCACCCTCTTCTGTATACATAATAAATAAATAAAAATTAAAAAAAAAAGAACAAAAAGGGAATGACTTAGAAGCCGAAGCTAGGCGTTCATCATCATACAGTTCAATGTCTGAGTTCAAGTCCATCAGCTCTGTATTTTTTCTGCCTCTTAAAAGTCCTTCTACTCCACAACACCTCTTCCTTTGATCACCTCCTCTCTCATCTACATGGTCCTGTGGGTGACTACGGAGACAGCCACAGAAACTTCAAACACAAACTGTTCTACTGAGAATTACCAAATACAACATTAAATAAGCCAGATCCCAAAGAGCACAGAGAGAGCTACAAAAAAATATTTGTATTCCTAGTCAAATTCTGAGCACCAGCTAGCTACCAGGCTAAACTTTTTTTCCAGCCAATCTTTGGATAAGTTTTGAGGATTCATGTAAAAAAAAAAAATACCCTGAGACATTTTTTAAAAATCCACTTTTCTGTGCTACTTTTCAAGAATGTCATAACATGCAAAGGGAAAATCCTGTATGCAGATGGACTATGGAAAATCTGTACATTTAAAAGAACAAAACACATCTGGAGTTGAGCACATTCACTCTCTCTTGCCAAGTACAATTCTTTGACCTTCGATATCACCACAATACTAACGAAAATTAAACTTCAAAAAGAAATTTCTACAATGCCTAACATCTACTCGGTGCACGTGAAACACCAACGTGTGACCAACATCACTGAGATATTTTAGTCCCAGGTAATTTTATTCTTTATGATAAATGTCATGCATTGAATGCCTGGGTATTACTTTTGTAATATTTCTCATCAATAAATATAATAGCAAAAAAATTTTAGACCAGGATCCAAGTTGGTTGAGAAACTGAGAACATTTTGTACAGAAGAGTTTTCCAACTGTTTAGTATTAAACCCGAGTTCTCTTCAGAAGCCCGTCTTCAAGCAGAAGCAGTATAGGTTTGGTTCTCCTCACCTTTCCCATCAAACACATCACGCTTCGGTATGATGATGGGGGCAAACTGGTTTGGGTCTCCAGGACCGAAGCTACAAGACAAGCACTGAAGTGGCTGACTCAGAACCTGAGCTCTGCAAACCCTGGCTTAGCAGCACAGGGGAGCCACGGGGGACTCATCCCTGCTCCAGATGGAATGGGAGCCCAGTGTGATGGCAGTCTGCAGGCCGAATCCATGAGAAAGAGATAAACCAAAGCCTGGCAGGAAAATGTGTCTTTTTCTACTGATTAACACAAGCACACCAACATCAACAATGGTGATAGAACAAGCAAGAAAAGGCCATCGAACACCAGCAGCCACGGCTCTCTTTCCGGCCTGGAGGCTCCAGGGTATGGGACTGCAAGCCTCTTTGACGCTATAGGCTGAGATTCTCCATGTGCTTTCAGGGATGGGCAGGTGGGACTAGAGGAAAATTATACGCTATAGAAATGGTTGGTGATACAGCCCCTTTGTCATTGCAACCTAGGAGTCTCTGTCACACAAAGGCTCTGAAGCACATAGCAGCCCTGGTTGGAAAGTCCCACCACACTGCTTCCTGAGGAAGAAGAAAGCCAGGGCTTTAGCTCACTCGGGTGAAGCCCCTTTGATCCACTCAGGTTGAATAGTACCCCACAAACCAAGACCATAAAAGTTTCTGGGAGGGCAGCTTAGACTACTAGCAGTGGTGGAGGGGGTGCTTGAGCTGGCCTACCCTGGTGATCAGATTGCTGAATGCCCTGTCATCATAGAACCTTCATCCGCTAACTGATGGAAACAGATGCAGAGAGCCACAGCCAAGCACCAGGCCGAGCTCCAGAAGTCCAGTTGCAGAGAGGGAAAAGAGATTCTATGAGCAAGGGGCATCGAGACCATGATGGGGAAATTGACAGATACAGCTGAACCAAGCTAGTGGGAACTCATAAACTGTGGACCGACGGCTGCGGAGCCTGCATGGGACTGGACTCAGCCCTCTGCATGAGCGAGACAGTTGTATAGCTTGGTCTGTTTAAGGGGCCGCTGACAGCGGGAATAGGTTCTATCCCTGATGCATGAGCTGGCTTTTTGGAGCCCATTGCCTATGGTGGGACACCTTGCACAGCCTTGATGCAGGAGGAGGGCCTTGGACCTGCCTCAGCTGAATGTGCCAGTCTTTGCTGACTCCCCATGGGAGGCCATACCTTTCAGAGGGGGGGATGGGGTGGACTGGGGAGGGAGGAAGGCTGGGGAGGGGGAGCAGGAGAAGGAATGAGAGGGGGAATTCTGTGGTTGGTATACGGAATGAATAAAAAATTTCTTAATAAAAAAAAGAACCTAATACAATAAAAAAAAAAAAGGTTTCCTGGAGGCTCTGAAAAGAAAATGCAATGAAATTAAAGACAACAAAAAAATAGGTTGTGACCTAAGTACAGGGGGGGGGGAACCCAAGATACCTTCCAAGAGAAAAATCTTTACAGACTTCTAACATAATAGATAAAATTTCCAGGTTATAACAGAAAACCATAATGTCAAGACCACAAAAATCAAAATGGATTAAGGAAAACTAGCTCAACTCTATGCTGCCTAAAAGAAACAAAATTTGAACTGGGTGTCTTGGGATGTGCCTGGAATCTGTTCCCCAGAAGGCTGAGGTAGAACAAGCCTGCACAAGGAGGTGAAGCCTTGAATTAAGCAAAGGAAAAGAAACACACTTTGAAGTCTACAACTAAGGTAAATTGAACAGCTATGGAAACCTATACCTGATATCATTCTTTCTAGTGAAAGAAAGGATGCCTGGAAAAGGGTCCAAAGCAGGAGCATCTCAGCTCGCCACTCTGCAATGCAGTGCTGAGAGCTGCTCTTGTTATATTAAAATGGGGGAAACACGCAGCCTAGAGGGCCTCTCAATGCTGCACGTAAAGGAGGAAAGCAGAGCTCAGTGCAAACACTCAGAATGAGCACAAAAAAAAACAAAACTGATGGAACTGTCAGTACGCTGGGCAGTACACTCATGGCACTCTGCTGATTGTGGCTCTAGTTTTGCATGAGGAAAACATGGCACTGTGTAAAGCAGTGTATGAACCCATAACTACCACAATGATAAACACACAAGGTAACCCTTCAGTGTCCATATTCACAGTTCTGGAATCCAAAAGATTTTTAAGACAAAATATTTTTGATAATTTATTCAATATTAACACTTGACATAATAAATTCATTTGGCTACAAAACCTGAACTAAAGAATAAATCCAGGGAAATTTTTTATCCCACATAATGTGCATGTGTGTATACATATATATATATATATATACATCTGTATATGTATTATATGATTCTACACACCTTTATATGATTCTTACAAAGTTCTGAAGAAAGGAAAATTCTGAAACCTAACATCTCAAAATATTCCATGAAAGGCTGTTAACATGGATGGCTTTCATAACAACAGAGCTGTGATTTCTTGGGTGAGTAGCTGCCAGGGATAGGACACTTGCTGGCCCACAGAGTTCACACAGACTTTTTTAAGCCCCACATGTGTAAAGATTAAAACACCAAAGCTGTGTGAACTTTTCCTTGGTAACACTGAAGAGTATTATGCATTTTAATTCACACACTGGTGTACTTATTCACCAAACAATGGCTGACCAGTTACTATCTCGAATAAGGAGCACATTCTTTGGTGGGCACTAAGTTTCCATATCCTCAGCAGCACACATCAAAATAAGTACCACGACAAATTTACAAAGCAGGAAACCAAACACTAAACAATTGAAGCAGTACTCCGTGGAAATAGCAAAGATGCCTACTCCCAGACAATGTTGTAATGTGTAAGTCTAAATCCCTCTCTTACTTCATCATGGAGTCAATTAGAGGAAAAAGGATAAATTTGGCACCCTAACACGAGAACACCATCCGACAATGTCAGAAGCATCAATCTGAGCTGGGAAAAGAATATAGTCCAACGCATGATAGAGAATTCGGCACACATCATTTAAATAGAGACAAAACTCAAAGTGAATACCTAATTATTTACAGGAAAATAAAAATGTGCTCCTGAGAGTATAAGGAATGTAAAGCTATGACCAAGAGAGTGTAGTAAAATCAGTGTCTAAGGTAGAAGTATCAGAAGTGCTAGGGAGCTCATCAGGAAGATTATTTTTTTAATAGAAGTAGCCAAC